CCCATCCCTGGAGGTATTTAAAAGATGGGTAGATGTGGTGCTTAGGGACATGGTTTAGCAATGGACTTGGCAGTGCTAGGGTAACAGTTGGACTTAATGATTGTAAAGGTCTTTTCCAACCTAAACAAAACAATTCTAGTCTGACCCATAGACCCAACCCCCCCTTAGCGGTTGGAAAGGTTAGAAGCTAAAGTATCCAGCCAGTGCTCTCCTATCTTTACTCATTGATTTATACCCCAGCCAGTCTGGTGGGTATGTTAGGAAACTGGGGAGAAGGAAGATAGGACCAGTTCCTCACATGTACCAACAAGTGATTCCCCTTATAAGTGCAATGGCATAGCACTTCATCCTATGCGAAGAAGCTCACTTTCCTTTTCTGATCCGCTGCCCTGTCTGCCCTTCTGTGAGCCCCTGTGCTTTGCACACAGTTTTATGTATCAGTTTTCAGAGACTACGCTCAGCAAACATGACTGGGACAGCAAGATTAAAGGAAGCGAGACAAGGATTTGGGAAGAAAGCTTTGGATTTGTTCCCGTGGTCAGTCATGTTCTTCATCTGAGCTCTTGGAAAACTTCTACCTTATGCCACAAGCTGGGGTTACCTGTTGAGCTTTGGAATAACAGTTACTCTTTTTTCCACAGTGATGGTTTCCTAATAACTTAAAAAGCATTATTACTACGTGGTGATTGTTTTGGCATGACTTTCAGACAAAAAATTTTACTAGATATCATCTTCTCTGTTACTCTTCAGCATCTACACACCGGTCACTGCAGCAGAAGTACTGCGGTAATGACTCTAAAAAGTGGAACTGCCAGATATACTTTCATTTCAAAGAAAAGTAGACATTTATTTCTCCCTGATTTTTTCCTCTTTCAAATACTATATAGTAAAATTAAGTTTATGACAACTTGAAAATCTGCATTAGTTCTCAGGGAACTGGGAGAACCCCACAGACTAATGAATAAGCTACAAAACCAACAGCTACATTTTTCTGAAAGTCCTCTGACATAGCAATAGAGATTTAGGTAAGGATTGCCATTATTTAAAGAAAACTGAAAAAGCTGTTCACAACCTCTCTGTTTACAAGCAACAAGAGTTGAGAGAAACGGCAGCCTAAACACATCGGGAGGTTGCTTCTGTTATCTACAGACCTTGTGGTGTTTTATTTAAAACCAGCGCATGTGTTTCAATGAGAGATGTATTTTCCTTACATTTATGCTGTCTCAATCTTTTTCTTCTTTTTAGTTGTCGTTCCCTGAATCTTACATATACCTTTTCTGAGGACAAAGTCTGTACTGCAGGCTGCATATTTTTTAATCAAAAGACTGTTACTATTTACAAGTATCTTCAAGAATTGCTGAGGATTTTCCCTATCTTTGACCTCCAAGCCTATAAATGTGTTCAGATTTTCATAAACTCAATCACAAATCTTTCAAAGTATAACAACATCTAAAGGCAAAATGCCTTACAAACATAGGGAGTCAGAGAACTGGAACAGAAAACAATACTGAATATAAATTTCACATTAAGCTCTTATTGCTAGAGTTGAGTTCTGAAGTTCCTGGCAAACATGCATTTGATTTCAAAAGGACAAATAGTCACCACCCTGACTTCTAATTGTTCTGAAATATCTCCTGGCAGAAAGAAAAGTAAGAGCAATATATCATTTTACTACAATATTCAGACTTTGGAATACAAATTCTCAGAGCTGTTTTCATGAAAAACGATATGCAATTTCAAAAGTAGCAGAAGTCCACATTAAAAAGCAGAAAAAAAATCTACAATTTGCTTTTTTGTCATCACAGATGGCACTTTAAAAACTTTATACCTTGCTTTACATCTTGCCTGATAGCATTTTCTTAACAAAATATTATAAATTAGGTTAACTTTAAGATTAATATTTCACTTTCAAATACAAAGAACAAGATTTTCAAAGCTTTGTCACATTTATCTAAAAAAAAAAAGGAAATCGACAAATCGTGAAGAAAATCATATGCAGCAATAAGAATATATGCATTATTCAAATCAAGGTGCAAATCTGAATAGCGGACAAGATTTTCCCAAATACAGTGATTATATTAATAGCTATTTGAATAACAACTGTATTATGAGTAGGGTTGCATAAAATCAAATTTAACTGAAGCAACATCTGGCATACTAAAGGCGTCACAAAAGATATAGCTGTAATTTGCAAAATTATTTCCTTTATAAGTGTGAAATATTCATCGCTCATCATATTTCTAAGATTATGAGCTCAGAACTTTATGAACACCAGATTTCATTAAATCCCCTTGTTGCAGCTAAAGACTATTGCTTACAGAGAAATAGTGGTGTATTTTCCGTCATCTTGACTATAGCAGTAAGTCTGGAAGTAAAGGCACAAACAATTGCATGTATCTGCCAACTCCCTGCAAACTGTGCACTAAATTATAAGAAGAAGGAATCAGTTACTTTTAGAATAGCGTTCAGGCTGAGTTACTATCTCATTCCTCCTCAGATTTTGAGAGGACTATTCACCAACATTCACCTCCACCTGCAAAACGCACCAACAAGATGTTTATAGTCCTACTCTGATCAACATTTATATTAACTGGAACTAGTACTTCAAATGAATTTGGGAGATTTTTGTAGTGACATTTAATGACATTTTCACCCTACAAAGCATGCAAAGGCTTTAGTGTCATTATTGACTAGGTTTCAAAAGGATCTGCAGGCTGTATTTCCATAGTAAAACAACATTAATTTATTACACAAATCATTACAAAGAGCGAGGAGTATTTATCATACTTTATAAGGTAGTGTGATTTTCATGTGACAACTTATACATGCATAGCTGGAAAATGCAAATAATCTAGTGGAACCATTATATCTTGTGCTGGAAATAGTGCATGCATAAATAAGAAGGCAGAAAAATTATTAAGATATATCAACATACTTTATTGCAGTAAATGCTAGTAAAATTGCAATCACTATTTAAATCTCAGTTTAAAATTTAATCACATCCTTACAAAGTTTCTTTAATTTTATTTTCAAATTTTACTAAACTTCAAATTTTCTTATAGAAATTGATAATGATCTCACCTGTTTGAAGATACAGATAGATTTCATCCCACACTGGTGATATGAGGCACTAGTACAATTAAGAGAAATTTTGACATCTTTGAACTTCTTAAATACAATAAAATGTATGACCTCCATACCGCTCTGTACTACTCATTTCATAAAAAGGAATAGCTATATTATGTGAAAGTCTATCCTTAAATCAGATACAAGAGCAAAATATTCAGAACAGCATTTATAAAATTGGAGATTATCCCCACTGAAAGACCACTGAACAGTATTTATAAGACTTCATGCAATATTTCATAACAATAAAAAATATTCACTTATTGTAACATGGGCAAAAGACTGAAGTGGAGTTTAGGAGCCTTCCTAAATAACACAGTAAAGAGAATGAGGACCTGTTCTCTCAATGATACTTCAAATGTTATGGTTTTAGAAAAAAAAAAAAAATCATTGACATAGAACATGTAAAATTATTGGCATAGTCTTTATTTTACAGAGATCTCTGCAAGACCATGAAAGACATTTTCCTCAGAAGTAACTAGGTAGTGATTTAGAAAAAAACTTTTGTAATACCCATTATTTCATATGCTTCTGCAAATATAAAAATACTAAAAAGCTCTGACACATTCCCACATCAGGCCCCACGTTCTTGTTCAATTTCATTTTCAAGGACACTCATGGCATGTTATTTAGCTATAGTAATCACTTGAAAGTAGCTTTTTCTAAACATATGAGCAACTATCTGTCTTGATTAAAACAAAGCACGGTAAAAACAGATAAAGAATCTAGTTAAGAGTAAAAACAAAACTTATTGCATTGATTTTCACTAAATACAGTGCGAACAGGAGGATAAACGCAGGCATAGCAGACGTGTTAAAAGAGACAGTTCATTTTTAATAATCTGAGACTTATTAGTAAAATATTATCCATTAAAATAAATGTTTATGTACAATATAATTGGAAATCCTAACATCTAAAATTGGCTTAATGTATTTTTCAGGATTTAGGCATGCATTTTCACCCAAACTGTGATTGTTTGTGACTTTACAATACTATCTTCCAGATTTGAACACCTTCAATGTCTCTCCTTTGTTGCCATGTTGAAAAAAAACAGACAACAGGGGAACTCCTTAGGATCTCAACAAATCATTTAGCATATGCAAAGATCAGTTAAGCACTTAGTCATACACTACAGTCTCCAGTGCCAGATTTACAGATATTATTCAAATATATGACTAGTAATCAAAATTAACGTTTATTTCTTCCTATACGGTTCCTATTGCAATAATATGGCATACGAATAAAGCAGTAGCTTCCTGGTTTAAGCATTTCTACTATACTTACTCATCTCAGTAATACCCAGACAGCGTGTATTGTGACTCAAATGAAAGCAAGTCTTTTTCATTTGAAGATCTGAGTTCTCATGTTTCAGAAGAATATGTTTTTTTCCTGAACTCAGGTTCTTCAGAAACAGGGTAGCTTTTTCCCAGCTCTGTCTACAGAAAAGACTACGTCCAGGCCAAACCGTAAGAAAACCTAAGGCTTCCGGTTTTCCACAGCTCTTTGTGTATGTGAATACATAAGGACAACAGAAGACCAGGGAACTGCAGCGTGTAGCTAGGTAGTTTTTCAACGAGTTTATAAACTTTTCTAAAGAAGAGATAAAATAATCCAAACTCTTTGTTGCATATGTCTAATACTCTTCAGAATATTGATATCGAAGTGTATGTACAATAAAAAATACCTAATTTTCATAAAATGTCTATATAAATATATCTCCTTGACACACCCTTCACAGTGATTTCTGCATGTAAATTAAATGTTTGTTTTAAATGTGTAGTTGTCAGAACTTTGGGTTTATCTTCACATTTCCATTAGAAAACTTCCTTTGCAAAAGAAAGTTGCAGATAACAATATTTATACAGAGCACCCTGGATTCATATCAATAAAAGTATTGAAATTCTGATGTACATATTTGAAAATCATTTTTTATTTTCAAATAGGAATTGATATACTGCACAGTTCTCATTCTAGGCGTCCTTGCTTAGCATCACCTATTGCTCCCCACACATCAAAGACAAACTCATCTGGAAATGCAAAGTCTCCAAGAGTTTCATCCAATGCCACTGCAAATTCATCTGGGTTTTTCTTGTCTCTTCCAGCTTCCACCATTGTTGCAGCTAAAAAGCAACAAAACAAAATAATGTAATTATCATGAAAGTGACATCTAACATATGGCCAAGATAGTTTTTGAATGTCTATTTTCAAAACCAGGTAAGGTCATCTTAGGGAGATGGTAAAGCTTACCTACTGAATTTAGAATTCAATAGGAATTATGTACTTAAATCCCCACACACTAGCTACATTCAGCTCTGATAAACAGGAGGGCTTCCTTGGAGTGCTCTTTATATATTCTTCTGTTTGTTTGGCAGAAGTTTAATTTTTAATTTAACGAACCTTCATTTTACTCTTATTAAATTGTATTCTGTATTCATTACTGGAGGCACATGAAGTATGGGTCTAAAAACAAGGTTAAGCACAACTCTTCTGCAATAACAAGACCCATGCCAGTTCATCACCAACAGTGAGTTTGATATGAGCTTGCTGATCTAAACCAGAAGATCAAAAGGCAAACCTGAATGTTCTTCTCCCCTAAACAATGAAGAAAAGATCTCAGCAAGTCAGAGTTTAAAGTGGCCACGTTTTTCATGGAAAGCCAAAAGGCATAGGGTTTGAACATGGAAAATAACATACAGCCTGCATAATAGATACATGCGACCAAGCTAGTATGGGTTTGCTAGCCACAACCCATGTTTTACGAGTTCACATGCTGAGCATGACCTGCATTTAGAAAGCAGTGATGATAAATGGGCCTAGAGAAAACACCTGAATACTCTACTTTAGAAAACAAGAATTCAAATACTAGGCTCAACTAATGTGCTGTGTAAAATACAGAGAAAAATAAAATCTGGTGGTGTTAGGTATTGGACACAGTAAGTTTGCAACTGCCTGAAAGAAATTGTGCTCTCAAAAAATTACCATATGACATCAAACAAATTTCTTTATTTTTTCAGCTTGATTTTATTTAATTTTAATTAACTTTAGCTTAACTTTTTAACCCAAAACACACCTCCAGGTAGTAAAGAGACTGAGTTTTCAGTGAAAAAGACACTGTTTTCAATACCATCCAAACTAAAGAGTAACTAATTTCAGTGCATGAGTGTGTTTCAGTTATTATTACCTCCACTCTGAAAAGCAAATCTTTAATTTATAGCACCCCCAAGGCTGGGAAAGTTTGTGCTTATGCCACTATGAAGTGAAAAAAATCAAAGATTTCTGGAAGTCTCAGCCAGGTGGTTTGAATTGTGCAAAAGCATGGGAAAGGCATTGCTGCTGTGCACAATAAACTGGAGCCACCAAAGACTAGGAACATCTTCGTAACCAGGAAAGTTAAAGCAGAGAGGTCTGATACAACAGAGTTAGACTCTTGATATCTTGTATACCCGTGCTGTACAGCATTTTCTCTTATTTAACACCCAAGTATCAGAATTTATCAAGTTTTAGACTTTACTTTGGAAATGGCTACACTGGAGTTGTTGCTTAGGGGGTCAGTCCTTAGCTGCTGTGCTCATCCCTCACCTTTAGCCACTGCGTAGCTTCTCAGATTCTAAAACAAATTACAAGTCTATCCCAAACAACACTGGATGCTGGCAACCCAAGGACATTAGAGCAAATGAAAACTGTGAGGGCTCAAACTTCTCTCAGTCATGGCACCTGCACCTCCCTGAAGGATGAAAAGTGTCAGCACAGGAGTTTCTCCTGGTTAAGCTAGGGCAGGGGAACTACTGGCAGCAGGCTATCATGGTTTGAGGGATGCAGAAGACTCTAAAACAGGCTCAGCACAAACAGCACTGCTGAATGCAGTTTATTTTCTGAGCTGTATCTCTGCTCCACTGCCTCTGTTCATATTCACAAGAAATTATGGTGTTGTACAATAGATGAAACCCTGAAAGTCTGCTTCATTTTGTGATTACTTTACACACCTGCCTTATTCTGCAAGGTGTCCTCCACTTTTGTTATACATCAAGTAACCACCACTTTCTTCATGAGCATATCAAATTCAAGTCTCACATTGAAGGATTTGACAGCTTCCAGCCTTTTCTCAAAGGGATATCTGAGCAGAAAACTTGTATTACAGTGCCTGAGAAAGGGAAGGAAGTTTTGAAGCCACAGCAGACCATCTTCACTGGAACAGTCTGCCATCTACTTCATGTACTGTGTTGTATCAACATGGCAAAATCTCTCTGATAGAAAGGAAAAGAAACTTCCCCTGCTCTGAAGGTTTACTAAACGTATTTAATATTATTTTGACTGAAACTCAGCTCAAGTTTATTGACAGTTATGAACTTCTGGCAAACAGTGTTTGCTGTTATGCAAACTTGTAACAAGCCGTGAGCAAACTTGAGCCATATTCCACATTGTAGACGTCAGCAACAGTAATTCAGAAGAAATTTGACGTTTTGGTTTTAACTATGTTCAGACATGAGGCTTTAAACTGAATCACAGCATGCCAAACTACACAAAACAGTCCAAGGAAAACTTACATAAAACTTGACAAATTAAATGCTGTGATTGAGACAGTTCAAGTGTAACCGAGCTTCCCAGGCACCACTAGTGGTTCTCAAGGACTCTCAAGACTCGTTTCACTGCCAGAAGAAACCTTATCCCTGTTGTGTTCATTCTTTCTGTGTCCCCTGTGAAGTTCATGGGACACTGACTCGGAGGAGTCTGGATGGGAAACAGGCATTAAACAGGGGACTCTTCCCAGCAAGCGAAAGACAAATATTTGTCCTGTCAACACCACCCTATATCCCCTGACACCATGGCATAAGAAGGTACTTACAGAGGAGCCACCCTGGAGGTAATGAGGTGAAGCGTGTCATTTAAATTTCACAGATTTCTGGATATGAACCAGGATATGAAGTTACTCTATATAGACACTGGGAGAGGGTTGGAGGGAGAAGAGCTGTGCAAGGTGACACAAGAGCAAACGTGTCTAGATATAGTTACTCAAGATACTAAACAAAAATTGCCATCAACAGAGTGAGGATCTAGACAAGCGTTCCAGCAGAACGAGTGGGATCAAGGAATTTAGCCAGTTTTAAGATAAATTGGTCAAGATATATGAAAGAGCCATAAGACACAGACAGCAGTGATAAAACAAGACAACACAGCATTATATTACAGTCCAACTGCCCTACTTGAAACCTCAGAATTACACAATAATAAACTGTCATTAACAGAAAATGTTACTTCAAACACAATTTTCTTTAAAGACTGAGCTGCCCACATTATGAAATAGAACCTTAAAAATAGTTTATTATAGATTTACCAAACTTGAAACCAAAATCTACTAAACTTAGATAGTCAAGACAACTTTTAACCCCGTCAAGCAGGAGTCAGAATGTCACCGCCATGCAAAAGCAGCAGCCTCAAATCAAAGTGTTTTCAACTGGATTGAGCAACTGTAATCAACACTACCAGGGTACATTTAATGTACTATATTTATGAAAGCACATTCCCCTTCGCAGATTCACCTGATGTAATGAAGTACCCTTCCTGGAGAGATTGCAGGATCCTGCCTGCTGGGGTGCATGTTTTCGATAGCTTGGTGCTGACCTCTAGTGTCAGCAGCCTTGTATTACCGTGCAGCAAATCCTAATGCAAGACGCCAGCCATCCTTCCCGAGTTTCACACACAAGTTGTACCACTGGTGCATACGAATGTGCAAAGCTGAACCCTGCTTCGCTAGTTTCATACACACAGGAACGCTACAGCTGACCAGTCTTCTCGATCACCCAGTGTACGTATTTTTATTTCCCCAGACAGTTAACACAGACATGGGATGGCATCCCCTGGTCAGCACAGCGGTGCAGAACACGCATGTTTACACAATGACATTTGCAATGCGTAATTCCCAAGGCAAATCAAAAACTACTGATTGCCAAGGCATTTAGCAGATACTTGCCAACTTGAAGAAAACTCTACTGGTTCTCGGAGGGTGACAGCTCCGTGCCAAATTGCTTTCATCCCCCTCCCTTACCCCCACTGCTTCTTGTAACAGCTGCACAATAAGCGATTACAAGAATTTTATTCCAATAGAATATTTTTCCACACTCCAGATAGCCCCAATTGTTTTCAGATTTTTTTTTTTTTAAATCTCTCTTCAGGCGATGCTCAAACCTGAGAAATTTTTACATAAAATGTGAAAAGTTCAGCAAACTTAAAAGTGATGAAGTCTTCTCAACTTTAACTGAGAAGCCCAATATCAGGCTTCCCAGAATATGAACAAAGAAGTATGTTGGCTTTTTAAACCTAGTCCCTTTAAAATAACTTCAAAGATCTTTCACAAAATCCTTATTTTCACTTTTGATAGACACATGCAGCACAAGCCATGAAAGCTACGATCTGCCTACCATTGTTATTATCCACCTAACATAGTGGTTTTGCTACCTATACCCTATCGTGTAACTTCTAAAAAAAACTTTTTCACAAGTCTTAACAGAAACTTGAATATTTATTTAGCTGTAATGCTATCAGAAGCTTTGCCTTCATCAAAAGCTATCAGTTATTATTATTCTGGCCTGACACTTTAAAAGAGCTAAAATTCACATTCAGCTTCCTTAAAACATGACAGAAAATGAAGCATGTCATTGCAGTTTCCAGTGTTTAACATTACTTGGATTTAGTTTCATGTTGAACATTGTCAGATCTGGCTCTCAAGGAACCATTAGAAATATCCTTTCTTCTTGTTTCTTTTTATTAAGCACTAATTCTTCTTGAAGTGGAGAAGTTTTCTAGTTTAACCAGACTTGCTACCTTTCCCTTTTTCACAAAACTCCCATTATTGTCTCAGAGTAAATGAACAGTCATAAACAATATACCCCAGAGTGTATACAATAAAATCCTTTGAGAAAGGAAGCCTGGCAACAGAAGGAGCAGAAAACAACAGATTTGGGGAGAATATCACTTTAGTCGAAGCATTTCAAGATAAAAACATCTATCCAATATTGCTGGGTTGGATTAGTGAGCCAAGAGAAGAAGCTTGGGTGACAAAAAGTTTAAACCTGTTAGGACACTTTGACTAGACGGTAAGTTTGAAAAATAAAGTAGAGAGTGCAGAAGTAGATTTGAAATTTTTCTAAACAGAGATGGAGAATATGCAAAGATGTGTAATGTCTGACAATATTATAGGGAACAACAAAAAGGAAATAATCATCCAAAAGCATAAAAATAGAACAAAATATCAGTGGAAGAAGAGCTAGCCAGAAGATGCTGAAAGAAAAAATTTGGATGGGAAGCCCTTTTTGCCATTATTTTTCCATCAGTAGCATTCTGGGGTTGGATCCCATAGATCCTGGCTTCTTCCCACCCAGAATCTTTGGGATCAACTACAGTTTGTAACAATTCAAGCCTCACTGATTTAAAAAATAAATGCCAGCAGTATTTTTCACTAACACTGCTTCCTGAACCCCTCCTATTAATCAACTGTTCACATTCCTTTACCAGAAAGCACTGACAGGGTTTAAAATAACCTGAATTATCTCTCAATGGCGCATTTATGTTATAAAGAAGGCTGAAGTCAAGCCTTGGCCCAATTTCTAATGTGCCCATAAAATAGCTGAGGAATATATTTCCAGAGCCAAGTGTCCCTTATGCAGATTAAGTCCAGTTTTCAGTAAAATAAAGAGGTAAAAAGGTAAAAGTGCATTCAAAAGGCAGGTATGTAAATCTCAACAGCATTTAGATCTCTGAAAATAAAAAACTGTGCCAAAAAAAAAGAAGTGTATGCATTTCCATTAAATGTTTTCCAAGCATTTTGCTCCAGCTTAGGGATTTGTGTGTAGATTTAGTCAGCCATTCTTGAATCTGTCAAGATACTCAACTATGCAAAAATTAAGGGCTTTATCTCATCTTTAATTCTGTCTGCAATTTTACATTATTTTTTCTTTCCTTTCTTTCTAACTGCTGGCTTAAAACTGGGGCACTGTCTTAGAATTCAATCACACCGTGGAAGTGTCATTTTAATGGAGATGAAAGAGCAATATTAACTGACATCCAAAGCTTCTGACAAACAGAACTGCATGGGAGCGAGCAATGATTGAGATCTTAATCACTTGTCGGCTGTCGCATTGTGATGACTTGCATTTTCAACTAATCTGGCTTGAGTAATGAGTGAAATTTCTAGCTGAGTGGTGATTGGCATTCTCTGAATGAATCCTTTCCTCATATTTCATTTTCATGGGTGACTGATCACTCCCAGTATATGAAAAACTGACATATGTTAATTGAACAGATTTGTGACGGGTGATTAGCTCTCCTTTCCTAAAGAGTCCTAGAGCTGTTTAATTGTTGAAAAGTGATAAAACTTTTTTTTTTTGTCACCACTGTTGGCCCTCGACTCCAAGATTTGAACTTTAGGAAATGGCTTCAAAGGTGCAAACTAAAGCTACGTGAACCCTGTAGTCTTTGATTTCTGACAGTTTCTCTTTGTTTCACTGCCTTTTTGGGAGGAAGAAAAGGAAGAGGTGAAGAGCAAAACAACAACCCAGTTGGGAAGAAGAGCCTGTCTTTGAGGACAAAGACCTCTTCCTTCTTTGAGTATTCTTTTAAGGCATTCTTCGAAACTTTCCAAACTACGTATTGAAAGATGAAGGACATTAGACCTTTGGGGGAGAAGGAAGGAAAAAAAAAAAAAAAAACAAGGAATTCATGGGAAAACTCTACCAGGTGCTTGGCAATCAGCTCAGCCACATGTGCTGAAAGCTGAACTCCTCAGTCTGCTGTAGAAGAGCCATCCCGTTACAGTACTGAGAGCCAAAACCACAGGGAACACCAGTTCCCACAGGAACTTGGAACTTGCTTCCCTGTCCCAGAGCAGGACATAGCACACCTCAACATCCCAAGAAACCATGCTTTGGCCTAGGATCTCAGGGTTCTGGGCTATGGACACCAAAACTGGAACACCTATAGATGCTTATTCCTGTAGGGCCAGGAGCCTGGGGACCTTGGAGGTAACCTGCAAGGACAGGAGCCTCCAGAAGCACCAGCTTGAGCTGGGACTGCGATAACTGCAGGACAAAAACAGCTCCCCGAGGGACGGCTGGCACAAGACTTGGAACTTTGAACCCTGAGCCAGAGACGAACTGAGCGGCAGAAGCTGCAGAAGAGAGAAAGGACATGGGATCCTCCCTAACCTAAACAGAAGGTCATCATCACATAGGGCTCCTGGGAGCATATTACACGGCAGGGGTATCACATATTAGAGTTACCGGGAACAGAATTTTTGAGAATTTTTCATTTTCTGGGAACTGGAAAGTTTAGATATTATCTACAAAACAGAATTCACAAGTTTTGGGCAGCTCTGCTCTCTCTTCTATGCCAGGAAGCCCACCTCTACCTTAGGCTGGGGGACAAATAATACTTTACCCGCAATTTTTCCTGTGAGAAAACTAGTAGAAGCTGCCAATCAGATGCTTGCCGGTAGAGGCAGCCAACAAAGGGCTTTTGGCTATTCAGATAATCTCCTATTGTTCTCATTCCTCTGTGCTAACTGCTGCCTGTCCAACCCTCCTGCTTTGCCCTTAGCTTCATGCCAGACCTATTTTCTCTTCTCCATTGCCTCCTCTACTTCTCTCATAAAGCTTTCTTTTCAAGATCGCTTTCCCTTTAGCTTTATCCTTTCCTAATTCTTGGCTGATTTTTTTGGATATTACCATAACAATAAATACATTCCTCTTTGTCTCAGCAGTTCCACAAGATCGTATGAGGATTAAACCCAGCCACAGCTGGATACAGAGGCACTTCTTACTCAGCTACACTGCAGCTTCTTCCCATACAAACAGAAGTTCCTATTTAGTTGTTGTCAGATTAACAGAGAGAAGCAACAGCTGCAAGGACAAGTTTGGTGCAGTTTTAAGGAACTTATGACACCGGGATTTAATAGTTTCTTTCATTATATATTGACGATCATGATAGCTAGTAAATATTCTGGAAAATTTCCCATGTTCTTCAGAACACAGACTTCAGAGAATTTGATAAATTTGTGCAATTATTCTGTCAGTTCCCTTGCTATGATGAAGATTTCAGATTCAAACTTCAGTGATCAACTTTGATGTGTCTAAGCCAAGGGGCAGAGGAGCAAAAAAGCAAAATAGACATGCTTATCCTTAACAATCCTTAAATGTGGTACACACAAGCTCCACTAGAAAATATATGCCAGAAAGAATACAGTGATGACATTTAATGGCTAGCAGATAAATAATTTGTGCAATAGTGTATAAATAATGTGCAGGAAGAATAGAGGATTAATTAATTACATCATAAGGCTTGTAGTGAGAGATTCTTTTATCAGACACATACAGGCAAGTTTTTGAGACTGCATGCTGGACAAATTTTGCTTCGCTTACATTGAGAGACTAGTCAATAAATTTCAGACTACAGAAATGAGAAACGGTTTAATCTTGTAGTAATGTATCTATTAAAAACTCACCTAATTCAAGATCTCTTATCCCCATGTATGTTTCAAGAAGCTCATCCACTTTTTTAATTGCTTTTTCTTCAACTTCAGTTGGCTTCATTGAAATAAAGGGAGAAAAAGAGCAAAAGTATGATTATATCCATGCAGATTTCAAAATAACCAGCAATTCGCCACCGATTATCCTTACTCCCATCCTAGTCACCTAGACTTACAAAGCCTACCAGTAAAACACGTTATTCCACTCTCTTTCCCTCTTCTCACAAACCTGAGCCTTCCTCTTAATGTCAAGCCACACAGCTCTCACATTCAAACTAAACAAGGGCCTTACATCTCCTGACAATACAGATCTTCATCAAATCCTCATCAGCTTTAGAGGAACCCAGAATAAATAACATTTCTTCTTCCAAACCCTAGTCCTGGTTTTACACATATTCATGTCAACGTACGTTATTAGCCTCTCTTAATGACAGCCCTTACACCAGCCCAGTACACTTTGCAGCGTAGAGAAACAGAACCAACTCTTCAACCGTCCCCTCCTTTTTTTCCCCTCCTTCCCTCTTTTCAACACTCCTCCAGTCTAATCTACCTTCAATTCATCCATGTGATCAATGACATCTAAATATAAGCTCTCTGTTTCCAGATTGCTCAGCCCCATCCTATCCCTGCTGGTCTTCAACTTTATATAAGCATTTCTCCCTGCAGAAGGCTGTTGTCGTCTTAAGTCCCGCAAGCTTTGTAACATCTAGATTTCCCCTTCCTACTTTACCTTATCAACGTTGGGGAAGAATAAATCAGGTGCTAAATGATTGAACTATTGAAGGGCCTCAAGATAACCATACCATTTCCTCCACAGTAGCAGGGCCTTTGGTTCTCAGCCGAAGCGTTTCTCTCCCTCTGGAGATTTTAGCCTCTGGCAGAGTTCCACCTTTGGATCTTGGTTCCAACTTTTCTAAAGACAAAATAAACAACAACAACAACAAAAAGAAAAGAATACAAAACAAAACTAAGTATATGGTATGTCAGAATATGATGTATGTGCTTTGGCTATTACATTACCTTCACTTTTTATTCTAATCAAGATCTAGACATATGTAAAAATCTAATTATAAATTAACTGTATTCTAAGTATAGCTTTGCTGACAATTTCTTGTCTTCAAACTTTGATATCCACTTGACTGCACTGAAGCTAAGACTTCCATTAACCAACGTATCTATGCAGGCCTATTTCACTCAACTTCATATATGCTCTTTGTATAATTTTATTTCCCTATTCTACAGAAAAGTAGAGGTGTTTATTACCTAATATTAGATAATGGCTGAAGTCATCAGCCAAATGCTCATTTATCCTGGTCTTTACAGGTAGACTATGTAGCAGGTTTAGCATTGCAACATTTCCATCTGTGACTCATGCAATGGTGCAAACACCACTGCTAAACAGCTCATGATGAGCCACAAGAAGCTGAGCTAACAATTTGGTTGCTAACAGTTACATAAGTAAAATGTCCATAAGTAGATCCGCAGGAGTTTTTCCACTGGTTTCACCAAGGTCGTAATTTCACACCTGATAAATCTCTACCAAGAATATCTGGGTTTACCCAAAGTTTTCTTCACCTGAATTCAGCTTTCCTTCTTTAATCTTGGGTAATGGCACCTCAGTTAGTAAATGGAGTATGGAATCATTTAAGATTTGGCTTTCTTGTTCTAGGACATAATTTTACATTCAAAAGTGGAAAGATTTTAATTTACTTACTGACATGGGAGTTGCACAGTTAATCTGGAAAGTGCTAGAAGAGAGGAGATAATTTTGCAGAACTGTTTAACTGTGCCATTTTCTCTACCAGATTATTCTCCCTCTTATCAGCAGGCCTTTCTCATAAGCTCTCCTTGAAGGCAAGACTTTAACATGCTATATTCATTTTGCCCAGGTAGATCCAACTCACCATTCTTGAAAAAGTAGTCAGAAATCCAGATTATTCTGCTGAACAACTCTTGAAAAGTAAATTTTAATTGTTTTTATTTTAACAAATAGATATGGCACACTCTCTTACACATATACTTAGGATCAACACTTCGTTAACCCTTTTATTGCTTCAAGGACAGTTTAAAACATCCTTAAGATTTTCATCATTTCTGCTACACTTGTTTCAAAAAGTCATTCCTAATACAACATACATCTTTTTCTACTTCTGTCACCATTAGTGTCCTAAAACCCATGATTTGGCATAACCTTTATTTGTAGTACTTCAGACCAAATCTCTCTGACCATGACAGAAACTATTTTTCATATTCACGTAATTTAAATTTAGAATTTGTGTTATGCTGCCTTGACTTTGTTTCTATTAATTTTTCACCAATTCATAGAGGGCTAGCTTGTGACTGGTAAGGACCAATCTTACTCAGACAAGTCTTTAATTCTGTGCTACACGCCTTGCCTAGAGTAGCTGAGGCAGCCTGTGTGCACATGGTAGAAAGATATCTAACCAGTAAATTATACTTATTTCACATTCTGCTGAGAGGAAGAAAAATAAAAGTTAGTAATTTCACACAGAGGCTTGTCTCTTATTTCTATAGCCTCACAAACTTGTGTTGAAACTAACAGGAATTCAGCCCCTACTTGTCCAGCAGGATCTGGATCTTGCTTGTCATCTCCTCTGGGACTATTCTCAGCATGCTGCAGCTTAAATGCTATCTTGAATAAATTTGTGCCTAAAGCCTTACTGCACCTAAGGCTAGAGGCAGGATATTCTAACCTACTGGGCACTGCAACTTGTAAAGTAATTTCTGTGGGGTAAAAAAAATAACATGCATCTTCCAAAAATCTGTCCAAAAAGCTCTGATTGCCTCTTAATTCAATGTCAGATAAAAGGTATTGCCATGGAATTAGCAGGTTTCCTCTGCTACATCACAGGCAGACTAAAAGGTATCTTAATCACCTGACTAAAGTAATTACTATTAAATAATGGCTGAAGTCATCAATCAAATTCTGATTTATCCTGGTCTTTACAAACAGACTATGTAACACATTCAGCATTGAATACAAATTATAGACCCATATTAAAAAGGTATTCCTATATTACTAATTGCTATACTATACATATGTAGTACTACTTTAGCGTAATGTATAACATACACATTTACTTAACAAGAGCATCAACTTATATCCAAATGCATTAGAGATTAACTCACAACCCTCATTCTTCACAGAAGCACTAAAAGCCAAAAGAAACCTTCAAATTTCTCTCCTTTTCAATTTCTGCTGCTATTCTGACACCAAGTGTCAAGACTGGTGTATGACAGCAGTTGTAAGCTACTAACAGATAAAAAAAAGATTTGAAAAATAAACATTTCGTACTTTTGCTGCTGTGGTGAAGATGGTGATTTTGAACTTGCTGTTAGTGCAGATGTGCACAAGGACTCATACACACTTATAATTTAGCAGTATTTTGAAGTTTTTATTACAGAAAAATGCTACATGGTTCAGGGGGGCTTATAAAAAATTGAGAGAATAAAAATTAAAACTCAGTCTCTACTTTGACTCCTGAGCTAAACCTACCTTTTTTTTTTTTTTTTTTTTCAGTTTACCACATTGATAAAATTAATATACATAAGGATTAGCAGTAGGTATGCATTCCTCCTGTATAACTTTCTCATAGCATGCAGGTGGTAGGTACAGAGCTTTGCCATACTGCTTTCTTCCAATTCTGAGTATACCTGCTGTATGATTAGAGATCCACAAAAAAGTTGGAGACAGCAGGCAGGCATGCAGCAAAGGAGGTGCTCTAGGAAATCCCAGAGAGTGTTTTCGGCAGCAACCTTCTGCATTAGAAAGTGCAGTCCCCAGTAAAAGGTACAGAAATAGAAAAATCTGACACACAGATGAACAGGGATTATGTATCAACAGAGGAAAAGAGGAGGTTCAAGGATCAGCACATTAATGAAGTGATCCATGCTTTAAAACTGTGTCTATGAAACAACTCCTGTACTTATTTTGCATCATCATGTGGTGGCAAAGGAATCAAGCAACCGAGAGTCAGGCTGAGGCAGCCCACACCAGGATGACTGCTGGAGAAAGCAAGATGGAAGAAAATCCATTCGTAAATTTCCCACTTCAAAGAAAAAAACCCAAATGTACTTTCTTGTAGCAGTTATATTACCTTGGGTGGACACCTGGCTGCAATCTGAAAACAAACAAAGTGCAGTTCAATGTTGGGATTTCAATATCCCGTGAACAAGGTGGACAGTCAGGTCACTCACCAAATGCTTTCATAGGCTCTATCAACTCCAGCTTAAACATCTGACCTTTCTCCAAATCTTTTAGCATTTTGGCAACTTCGTAATGCCGACGATCTGACACATTTTTTCCATTTATAGTCTCTATGTGATCACCCACGCAGACCATTTTTGTTTGGTCCATAAGACTACCTTCTTTGATACGCTATTGTTGTTAAAAAAAAAAAAAATTAGAAATATTTCTTTAAAAGGTAACAAGGTGACACCACAGAGTTTCAAGAATGTCAGTTAACAACATCAATAGCATTGAGCTTACTGTACCAGCAGTGCATTTTGTCGATAAGATTTTCATAAAACATATTTTGGAAAGCATTATTTTTCAAACAAATTATTTTAATAAGCATTGAATATAAAATCAACAGAAAAAAAAGAATGCAATCATACTTTAGAAATTCAGGCTTCTGAATAAGCTAACATTTTTGTGCTTTAAAATTGAACCCAAATGTGTCAACAATGTGAATGTTTAATTGAGTTTTGGGTTTTTTTTCTCTTCTCAAGTATGGTCCAGGGACATTAAAAAATGTCTCTAATATACTAAAAAATAACATACTATAAAGGGCTAGTCTTAACAAGACCCATCTATAGTGATAAAACTTCTACCATTTTCCTCATCAAGCTATACAGCTGCATATTAAAGTATTTCCTCTGAAATAACAATAAAGAAATTCTTCTAAATGCCATCTCATGGAATACAAATACAAATGGTCTAAAGGCCAGAAAATGTAACAGAAGTTAGTATTTATAGTTTTTGTGAAGTAGAATTTAAAAAATGAGGAAAAAACACCAATCTTTAAAAGATCTCTATGATATAGCACGTCAATTAACGGACACTTCAAATTTCAGTGATTCTGTTTATTGTTACTATATGCTGTCATATTTGTTTATCATGTGTCTAAGTCATGTAAGCCCTTATCTTACGGCTATTTAATAGAAAAGCTATAACATAGTAGAATATCTTGTATTTTGCAGAGGTATGAATTTCATTCTAATATCTTCCCGAACAACGTACTTTTCAATAAAGACTGATGTTGCTCAGGCTAACTTTGAGTGAGATAACATTGAGACAACAGAGATAAACATATTACCACCTACTACTATAACACCTAGCCTAGCTGCATAACTATCTCAGAAACCTGCTTCTAGTTTATGTGCGCACGTCTGAGCCCACATATGTGCCTCCATTTGAGAGAGTCAGTGGGAAGTGCGATAGTGCTCAATGTCCTATAATACACTGCAACAATTTTTAGCTTCAGGCTGAGTTTAACTCTTTCTAGCACTTTTTTCTTTAACCTAGATTAAAACCAAAAAGAAGCCTCATGGTGAATGAAGAGTGGGGTATCGTACACATGCCCAAAACCAGGTCCCAAATGCATTTCTGTTACCAGGTGCCAGGATTCAAACGCGTGCCCACCAGACTTCAACTAATGTTTAGTCTGTGTGCTGAATTCATTCTCATTTAGCTTTTCTTCTTCATTTGGAGTCTAACATCAATTACTACAGCCCACAACAGCTTTCAACAACCCACAAATAGGTAAATTTGATATTAATCATTAATTAATAATGGAACATAGCAACATTTTTTCAAGGGAAGTAAATATATAAACAAAAAGTTCTGTCAAACTTTAGAGACATTATCTGCTTAGTCATTTACCCAGACATCCAAGTATAAAAAAGATTCAGCTTTTACTTTTGTGTATGTATTTTCTATGCTGTTTTAGAAAAATCCGTTAGCTAAATGTGCAACGGCAACAAAGCAAGCTCCTAGAAACTCCTTTAAACTGATGCATTCCCACGAAGACTGCACCGTATTCATTATACTGCTTATTAGCCTAGTACAAGGACAATGATATATTTGTGCAGACAAGTTTTATACAATTTACTGGAAATTACAGCTTGTCTTGCTAATGTGGTGGTTTCCAGTCTGCTCCAATTATGCAGTAGTCTATGTGATGGCTGTTCTCTCTCCCCATATTACCAACCAAGCACAGAGAGAGTAACACTCTGTACAGTGCTGCACACGTGAACTTTAATCGCTGAAGCAGTACTTTCGATGCCTTCTTTTAAAATAGCACATAAGCAGCAGCATGACTGAATGTTATGGGCTGCATGGATGCTACCACTAGAAATTCAGAGCTCTGTGTCTATAAACATAAAAATGAGGCTATGATTTTGCCAAACTGCTTGCTGAAACCTTCACTGCATCTCGACTTTCTCAAGCGTGATCTCAGTCACATTTTTCCACAACAAAGACAAGCATATCTATTTCTAAACCATGTCTTGTTTCATATCCATGGTAGCTAAGGAATGAATAGAGAATACAGCCTCTCCATACAAGAAGCTCTGTTTACAATAGCAGTAAGAACAGCAATGGGGACAGCAGTAATCGAAGATAATTGCCAGTGCCTCACTAATAATAGATAATTGGATTAAATTAGAGAAAAGCATCTAAAAAAAGCAAAAAATGTGACTAATACCTAGTCTAGCAAGAAGGGTAGCATCATTTCCTCAGCCTCTACTTGTCTCAAAACATCTGGAGGTCATATAGAAAAGGAGGAGGAAAGCAATTATGATTAATATATTGTACATGTTACTGCCCATAGTTGCTACTCAAGTTAATTGTGGTAAATTGTGTTAATCCATATCCTTAGCACCTTTTAATTCATCTTACCTAAGGCAACAGTATCAGAAAGCTGAAAAAGCACTGTACTTACACCTATTCTTATACAGCACAAAGGCGTCTGCCCTGTGAACAGTCATAAAGACTGAAAGAACATGATCTCATTATCACATGAGTGACAGACGTTCTGTAAGCACCTAATCAATGACATCAGAAAATCACTTAAAAAAGGAGGGGGCAGAGGCAAGCCGTACCTAACACCTACCACCTCAGGGTAGGTTGGAAAACACAATGGTCACACTGTAAAGCTGATACACATTACAGAAGCAATGAACAAATGTACTAATTTTGAATGACATGCAGTACAGAAATAGCTGAACTAATTTTGAATGATGTACCTAAAGAAAAGCTACTTTATTTTTTTACTTACCATATATATGATGATAAAAGATTTTCTAGTTCTAAAGGATCATTAAAACAATAATTAAACTTATAGTAACAGAAGCTTCTATAGAACTAAGTATTTCACTGGTAATCAAATTTACCTTTATAAACGCACAGCCAGTTCCATTGTCTGTAATGGTAAGCCCAAGCACATCATCGGTTTTAAGAATTTCCACTTCTTTTCGTTGTCCTTTTATGTGGGCAAATATGAAATCTTCAAGGCCAATTTGTGCACCTAAGAGCTTGTCCATATCAGCTTTATGAGTGTTCAAAGTGCAAAACATGATCTGTGCAGGAGGACAGCAAACAACATTAAGTTTAACAGTATATTAGGTTTGGTGAGCTTGATAGGAAGTTAAAAGGAGAGCATAGTTCTGGCCTCTTTGACAGATCCATAGCTGAAATGATGATAACTCTCCTTCTCCAGCTGCCCCAGGAGAGGTGACAGTCTCCATCCACGCACATGACAGGAAGCATCAATAGTTCAAACTCTGCAGATAAGAGCTGGCAGGGAGCAAAGGAGAGAGACGTATCTGTGTGAGCAGTCTCTCACGGCCTGTCCCAGCACACCAACTTTGATACAGGCATCTTGAGCTACAGCAGAACAGCTTGCTCCAGAGGTTAGAGTGAGCAAACTGAAGAGCCACCACCATGTTTTGCTTCATCGTTCACCCACCCCAAATTCCACAGGATTCAAACATCACCAGGGACTGCTTCAAAATATACCTGCTTGAAAGCAGTTTCATGGAAAAAAAAGGAGCTCATCAAAACAAGAATGTCAGGAGAGAGCACGAAATGTTTTATATTGCTCCACGTGTTCCACCATTAGCTCAGAGCACATTCTCTCCAACAAGCTTGCTTAGTTTCCCACCCTTCCTCCAGCATAAGTGGGGGTCATCTCTGTTCCAGCTTAGTAAAAGCAAGAGTTAAGAAAAAGGGCAAATTTTTCCTTCATAAATCAGCCTTTCTGAGGGATTCCCCTTCAGCACTGGGTGTTAGGTACTTCTTTTTCTCCCTACACTTATAGTAGTGGTTCTTTGATTGGAAGGTTTATTGTCCTGGGCATAGGCAGGATGAGACTAACCCAGGAACAGAGATGGTGCTTTTGCCCACCACGGTGCTGCATGGAGGAATGTGGCCAGTCCAGGCAGGCTTTGGGCTTTCTGCTCTTTGAGTACAGGCTGTACTGAAAAGCCTAGCTAAAAAAGAAAAGAACAAACCCAATGCTCCTCCTCACAGCTAGAGTAACTATGCTTGCCCGACTCCTTTCCAAGCTGTAGCCAGAAAGGAGTGAGAGTTGAGAGAGGCCTTGCACGGCCTCCTCCTGGGCAGCACTGGAAAGCATAGGGCAGCAGCCAAAATAGAGAAACTGTGCTCCAAGAGAAACTTGGAGAATCCCTAAAATCTACTTCACTAAGGCAAAGAGCGTCCCTAAAGTCCATCTTTCACATGCAATGGAAGCATGAAGAGGAGGAAAGTTGCCATCCTATTTGGCCCTCCAGCACAGGTGGCAAAGCTACAGCTGCAAACCATCAGACAAAGACCCTGCTGCCAGCAGGATGCATGTGGCTCTGACAGGACAAGAGATAAAAGGAGATACTTTTCTACCCCCTGTCTATATCTGCTGGACATTATTTTCCTTCAGAGCACACCTTGGACCCTCCTGCAGCCACTGCCCACACCAGCTCCAAATTAGGAAATAGAAGAAGCAGTGCTTACACATGAAAAGAAGTACACAGTGGGAAGCCAGCCTAGCATTTGAGAAAAACAGCAGCAGGATGTCCCTTCAGTGTCCTTCATCTTTGCAGCCGCTCGAGCAGCCGTCCTTGGGGAGCAGCGGGCCAGCCCAGCTGCCCCAAAACCCAGGCACAGAGCTGTGCCCATGGCCTCCCAAACCCCCCAGTGCTTCGCTGGAAATGCAGGGTCTCCTACTGCCTTCCCGGCTTCCCTCACTACCCTTGTACAAGTTACGGGATTTTCTGCACCAGAACACTTCAAATGCCTTTTCTTTCCTTCTGGTATCACTGGATGACAGCAGAAAAATTGAAATGAAAGTCACCAACCTATTCAAATCTATTCCAGGTCAAATGAAGGGTGAATATTTTTCCTAATGCTTTCACAGAGAACATTCAAGTTTCTGAAGCTTTCTAGAACTTAGATTCTGTAACTGTGGGGGGTTTGGTTTTAAAACCTGAAAGTTTAGTAGTGAGATGGTGTTTCTTGATGAGGGGGTTCTTGTTTAGTTGTTGTTTAAAAAAAAACAAACCCAAACTTCAAAGGCTAATTGCTTATCTCATGTAACTCATCAACCATCCACTGCAATCTAACATCTTACTTTCACAATGAGAGTCGTAACAGCACACCTTTAATAGACATTAGTTTTATTCTCTCAGGTAATGCAAAGTTTTTCAGTTAACTAATACACAAGCAATAACATCACCTAGAGAAATTCAGCTGGTTTTAAGTAGAAAATTAAATTTTATTTTATAAATACTAATAATCTCTAATCTTCAGCATTTTTTTTTAAACCAAGAAGGTTCAGTTCAAATAGACTATATGTAAGCTCACGTATACATTTTCAGCTGTCTCTCAAGCTACATAATAGCTTGGCCAGTTTACAACTGCAACTCAGTTCTTCTTCTTACAATGAACAACAAGCACTGTGTCTTTACATTATAGACCTTAGCATCCTTCATCTGACCTTGTCAAACAGACAATCATCTAGTAACTACTGTCACACCTTTGAATAGATAAAATTGGCAACAGAACAGAAATGTGATATTTAGAAACTCGATCCAGAGTTTCTCTTTTTAGACCTTCATCTGGATGGCATTCCTACTACAGCCTATAAGTCTGCAGAATTTTCTGTGAGTCAGTTCTGTGCTAACCACAAGGCTGAGAGAGCATCAGCCAGTCAAAAATAAAACTTAAATCATTCTTTATTCTCTTTAGCGAACAACTGCTTTTTCTCAGAACAGATATATGCAAAGAGTAATGTACTAAAGATGTATCTACCCAGGAAAATATAGTTACACCATCTCCCAGTTACAGCACAGCTTTATTTGTACATGACTGAGAGCTGTCAATTCAAAAATGATATTTTTTGTAGATTTTACATAAGTTTTTAGTATAGGTACCTAATAACAGCTTATATACTTAAATAATTAAACAGCAGCTACTATAGTACACCTTCCATTCACTGAAAGTTTGGTATATTTTTGACAATAATTTTCCTACCCAGAAAAGAAGCAAGAAAAAAACTGAATGTGCAATTTTCATTGTTAAGTCTTTTCTCTCTCTTCTTAACCTCAGCCTTCATATGCATTTGATCTTTAACTCAGCATACCAGTGCTGTGACATTTCATGCCAACTTTAGCAAGACATTATAAATCATAACTGTTACATCAGTCATGAAGTATCTAGGATACCTCCTTCACCGAGAGAGTTATCTTGTGCGGCACACAAAACAAGGAAATTCCATTCGGCTGGCAGGGACAGGGGGCTTATGCACAACCTTATAAAATAGATTTGTCAGATACGATTACTAAAAGATTGTTCCCTGCATCAGTATTTTCAATAGGAAGAGACAACATTAGCCAATAAAAACAGGGTTACACTGTGTGTTATATAAAGAAACTGTATTAGCTAAGAAAAGATGATTACGCTATGTGTTATATAAAGTATATATGCAATACCATATTGCATATCCTATATATTAATTACATTCTCATCTTCCGTATTAAGCCTACACCTTGAGAACTCAAAAATAAGTTGACTGATAGATGACACATTCAGAAGCTATTAAAAGCGCTTTTAAAATCAGTAGCTCTCAACTTCACAAAGGAGATCATAATCACTTTCTCTATTTAAGAGGTGGGGAAATGGGAATTCTACTTCTGAGCAAGATGTAACACCCACTGACACATTTCCCTATATACATAGGCGTCATTAGATCAGGCAATCACCAACACATTTTCTAGGTACCTTACTTACTTTATCCTCCCTGAGGAAAATGTGGGAGCCTTGACTAGCTGCAGTAACAGGAAGAGTAACGAAGTCCTCCGGTTCCAGTGTGCTTTTGCTACTCTATCAGGCATGCAACTTTGCCTCCCCAAATACATTCAAAGTACTACAAAATAAGCATTCAGTGTTTTGTTGTTCTTTTTCTAAACCCAGAGTGCACAAGAATTACAGTGTAAGTTCTGCTACACAGCTTAAAAGTATTTCGAAAACAGATCATCAACACAGCAAACATCACACCTAATACAGGTGTGAAATTTAAGCACTGCTTAGGGGAACAGCAAGTAAACATTGTTGCCATAGGTTGGGAGGTGGTTTGTTGGGAGTGTTAAGTTTGTTCATTTAAAGTCTTTAATCTGTAGGCAAGATTGTGAACAATTTGTTTCAACAGATAAGCATATACTCTAAAACTTCGAAGGGTTCGGTGATGAGGATTGCACAAGCTAACCCTTTTCTCTAACCTCCTAAAATCCACTTGAGATTTTTTCTTGTAATAAGGTCCCTTTTATTCAGAAACCTAAGTTTCAGCATAGTGGCTTATTTTTCAGTACTCTCTCAGAAAAGTTTAAATCGAACAGGTTTAAATCATACACTTCTATGAAAGTTTAACGCAGCACAGCCTCACAGTATACTTAACTGTTCAGCATGAGGAGGCAAGGCCCGTGGAACAACAGCCCAGACACAAGCTCAGCGGCTGAACTCTTGTTACTGGAAGAAACAGAGGGAGCTGCATTTCTGCCCTCGGTGCTACTGGGAAGGTCTCCCTTTTCCTGTATTCCCCTTAGGAAGCAAATTTCGTTCCACTGTGAAAGAAACCCCAGCCTCTATGGGCTCTTGACAGACACACCCGCTGAGCATTCAACTTACCTCACCAGCCCCACCATACTTCACCTTCCAAAGCAAACAAAATAATCAAAAGTGCAAATTATGACTACACAAACCAAAAGTCCATATAGCTTCTGGGGTTTACCATTCCCTTCTCATCTGATCAAGAAATAGCCCTGGTACACTTGGACTTTAATATCCACGTTCCCAGTGCCCGATTAGCTACTTTGAATACTTTAAAGCCCTACCATGTGCTCTCACAGGAGCACAGCACCACCAAAAGCTTTAACAGACCCACATTGTCCTTTGGTCAGTGCTCGTTTATTTAGCATACAGGCTGCACTTAGCACTTTCACCCTTACAGGGAACATAACATTTCCTGCCACATTTTCCGATAGTCACAGTGGAGTAGTAAACCTAAATGGCCAAGACCATACACAAATACTTTTTCCAACTGCT